ACTCCTAGACATTTACTTCATCAACGACGAAAACCTAGACGACACCTAAAACACTAGTTTCTCGACGGCGAACACTTAAACACTCACTTCATCGACGGCGACCGTGTAGACATTCACTTCCTCGACCGCAAAGACCTAGATGACACCTAGACATTTAGTTCCTCGACGACAAACACGTAGACACTCACTTCATCGACGACGACCACAAGACAGTGAGATAGACGAGAAAGTAGAGAAATAGACGAGAAAGTCGTGAGAGAAACGAGAAATTAAGCCAGGAGAGAGACAAGGGACAAGATTGAAATTTTGCGAAGAAGAAGACGATGACGATGGTACAGCAGACCAAAGAGACCATACAACATTGAAATTTTACGAAAATTGAGCGAAGAAAAAGACGACAACAACAAAGGCGACAAAATGATAAATTATAGACGAAAGGGGACAAGATAGAAATTTTGCGATGAAGACGACGACGACGACGACGACGACGACGTATCTGAATGACATAAAATCGGGCAAAAAAATGCATACACTTTATGCGCTTATGCATTAAATGCACTTATGGATATCACTATTACAGCATTGTGATTGGAAAAATATAGATTTTTCACAAAATAGGCATTTACCGATAATATCCATATAATTAAAAGATATAATAATTTACTCCTACAGAAACGTTATCCGTCTGGTAAAGGATATACTTTAACGTCTCTGTAAGTACAAAAATATTTCCTGACCGTCATGTAGCGAAAAAATATACTTGGCGGGAAACGCTACCGCGTCTCCTGATTCCCGCGTTATTTTTTGTCTCGCTTAGCGCCAATTCATAGTTACAAGTTACTAGTTCATTTAATTACAGTCTGAGGGCGCAGATGGTTTCTTTTCCTGTCTTTGTATTATCATTCCGACGCTGTGTGGGAAATAAAGCTTCTTGATTTCAGTACGAAAAATATTAAATCCTTCTTTCGACCCTATCAGTTACATTCGATATGAAATTTGAGTAGGCGCAAGTTATTGCTAGTTACACTTGTCAGTCAGATACATTTGGTAGTACACAAGATTCGTCGCAAGATACATTCAGAGCATCATCGTAACATTACAGCTTTTCGGAAGACTCACCGCCCGCCGTGACGGGATCATTGGCGGTGCTTGCACTGTTAATATCGCTCGGAAGAAAACATAATTTGACGATCGGGCGCATATACTGCGATCGCGCCGTTCGTACGGTGACGACTCGAGTTTTCTTATCATCTCCGGGATGGCACTCGATGATACGGCCGAGCTCCCATTGGCACGGGGGAATAAGCGCGCTTCTTAAAAGCACCAACTGTCCGACTTTCGTAAGCTGGTGAGCGACCTTCCATTTTGGCCTCTGCTGCAGATTGAGTAGGTTAGGTAATCGTTCGACCACGCTTTCCAAAAGGTCTCGGATATTCGTTGCAGCAATTGCCAACGCGATAAGCGCATTTCATTTAGTTCGAGGGTGTTGGGCTCAGGAGCGGCGACCGGAGGGCCGTCAATAAGAAAATGCCCGGGAGTTAGCACGTGGTAATCATCTAAGCTATCGGATACAGGCGCGATCGGACGGGAATTGAGACAAGCTTCGATACGACAGAGTACTGTCGAGAGTTCCTCAAAAGTAAGGATGTGTGAGCCGATGCAGCGTTTTAAATGATGTTTCATGCTGCGTACCACCGCCTCCCACAATCCCCCGAAATGAGGAGCGGAAGGGGGTATAAAATGCCAATCTACGTCCTGGGACGCGAGTGCGTTAAGAAAGTTTGGATCCTTGCTCGCAAGTTTAGCCGCATTTCTAAGCTCACGATCGGCGCCTCGGAATGTCGTTCCGTTGTCGGAGTAAAGCGATGTTGGGAATCCGCGACGGGAGGCGAAGCGCTGAAATGCCGCGAGAAATGCGTCCGTGGAGTAGTCGCTCACCAGCTCCAAATGAATCGTTTTCACGGTCATGCAAATGAACACGGCAATATATGCCTTTTGCGCCTTGTAACCGCGGCCTTTCGCAGTTCGATCTAGAACAGGACCGGCGTAATCTACGCCGACATGCACGAAAGCTCTAGCAGAGCGGTTTACTCGAACGGTTGGAAAGTCACCCATTAATTGATTCGGAATTTGCGCCGCTTCTCGCGTACAGACAGTGCATTTGTGCAGGACAGCGCGAACTAGAGAGCGTGCTTGCAGGATCCAATATTTTTCTCGGAGTAGCGATAGCGTAAGTTGTGGTCCGGCGTGGAGAGCTCGGAGATGGACGTCCCTTATGACAATTCGGACTAACGGATGATCTTTGAGAACGAGAGGGTGACGAATAGCTTTTGAGACGTCGGCCTTTCGTAGTTGATCTCCGATTCGAATAAGTTGCTGATCGTCCAGAAACGGGTGCAGCGAGAGGAGGGAGCTTGATTTGGGTATGGGAACCGATTTCAATAGCGAGGCTCATTCGACAGGGAACAAGTCGGTCTGAATAAAGGTCAGCCAAAAAGTCTCTGCGTCCTTGATTTCAGCAGAGGTTAGGAGGGAGGGATCGATTGGTGGCTGAGAGGGCGAGTCCTTGGATTGTTTGCCAGCACGAATGTTATGAATGAATCTCTTCATATAGGCGGTAACTCGTTGTAATTTCAGCCAAGAAGAGTATCGCTGCGAGAGGTCCCATTGCTCGTCAGTCTTGGCAATGTGGCCCGAGCGTATCGGTCGTTCCTCGAGGCAAGAATTTGTTTGTAGATCCAGTGTGGCGGTTGGCCACTGCGTGTGCGGATTTGTAAGCCACGGGGGGCCCGACCATCACAAGGTTGCCGAAGCAAGTTCAGCCGGCGATATCCCTTGCGAAGCGCAGTCCGCAGGATTTTTGTTAGTCGGGACGTGACGCCAAAACGCAGTCGGGAGTAAGGTTTGTATCTCCGCGACTCTATTGGCCACGAATGTCTTCCATTGAGCTGACGGCCGGCGGATCCATGCCAGCGTTATTGTGGAGTCCGTCCAGTAATAGAGTGGTATATCCTTGAAGACTAGTGACGTAAGAATAAAGTGAATAAGCCGGGTTAGTAATAAAGCCGCGGAGAGTTCAAGGCGCGGTACGCTCACTGTCTTAAATGGGGCAACCTTAGATTTGGCAGTGAGCAGCATCACATTTACGGTCCCATCCTCGGATACGACGCGAAAGTATACAACGGCCGCGTAGGCCTTTGTTGAAGCATCCGAGAATCCATGGAGCTCATATTGGAGTGAATGGTGGCCATGTTGAATCCATCGTGGAATGGAGATTCTCTCGAGGTCCGGGAGCAGAGAGTGGTAGAGTCGCCATGCGTTGAGGACCTCTACTGGAACTCGTTGATCCCAATCGCATTGCAGCGCCCACAATTGCTGCATAAGCAATTTGGCGCGAATGACGACAGGCGTTACCCATCCGAGGGGGTCGAATAACTTGGCGATGTCGGATAGAATCTTTCGTTTAATTTCTCCCGGCGCGGCGAGTCTATTAACGCGGAATTGGAAGATGTCGCGGTCAGGTTCCATGTGAGGCCGAGGATCTTTAGGTTGTCCTCGCGTAGTTCTCGACTCTGAGCGAGACCGTGATTACTGGGCTCAATATTGTCGAATAATTCAGGCGAGTTGCTCGCCCACTTCCTTAATGTGAATCCTCCTCGCTGTAAGAGAGATACGACTTGATGACGAGTTTCAAGTGCAGTGATCTTGTCGTCGGCTCCAAAAAAGAAATCGTCGACATAAATATGTTGGTTGATAACCGGGGCGGCTAGCAGAAAATTCGCGCTCTCATCGGCGGCAAGTTGATGCATGACTCTTAGAGCGAGATACGGAGCGGAGGCCGTACCGTATGTCACAGTACGGAGGCGATCAGGAGACACGGTAGTAGCTTGGTGTCAAGTGTTTAAAGTCATGCCGGGTTTCTTAACGCGAGCCGTCGCGTTGCGAGCACCCGAGATTTTGAGATCTCAATAACAGTTAAACCGATTAAGTTCTAATTAGGCTTAATCGATAGCTTGGATTCGATTTGTATAATGAAAGTGTCTTTATTTTTTCTGTACGTGCCCTACGACCGGAGATATGGCAATGCAAAGTCCGAAATGTGAGAATTTAAGATTAAGAAACGTCATCATCGTCGTCGTCGT